GGGGGGGGGGGGATACATGTATTAATTATCTCGTTATGAGTATTCACAGGGGGGAAATACATGTATTAATCATTTTGATATTAGTACCAGTATTCATATGGGGAAAATACATGTATTAAAAATTTAGTTATGAGTATTTATATGACCTTTTCAGCACACATCAGAATACCAGAAAATCAGGGGTGTGGCTGAAAGACAGCAGTAAGAAGGAGCCTAGGAGTAGCAGTAGAAAGGCTTCAGAAAGAGTCAGGAGCCGAGAGGAGGAGGCAAAGGAGGTGAGGGAGAGGGGGCAGAAAGTGGAGACGCCTTTGTTTTTGGGGTGACGAGTCAGGAGATTGGTTTGTGCCACGATAGCCGCTTTGCGCTCTCAATCTGGCTAGCAAAACGACCCAATCGTGCCAATGGGCACCCGGTATTAGTATTACACTCTAACAGTGGCACCCTCCTACCACCCACGTAAATAGATGTAGCCTAACCAGTCTCACAGCCACGACAATGAACAGTAAAACAAGCGTGACGGCATTATTTCACTCACCAGCTGTAGCCGCAGGAGCAGGTGACGGGGCGAGGCGCGGTCCCAGAATCTAGGTCACCGAGCAGGACAATGACCTTGCCGCAACGGCCATTGGGACACCAGGAGGCTCGTGGGTCCGTCTCTATCCTCCGCTCCATCACGTGACGCCGATGCAGGCTGCTCAGCGCGTACGGGAGTCGCGACATGACCATAGCCTCGTTCATCTCCACACAACAGTCGGCCACCATGCACGGGATGCGAACCCGGCCGGCCTGCACAGCCCTGTAGGCGTGGTACCTCCAACAACTGACGCAGAACGTGTGCCCGCAGGGGAGGAGAGACCACGGTGCGGAGTCTGGGTCGTCTGGCCCACCCAGAGGAAGAAGACACACTCCACACTCCTCGCCCAGTGGAGGAAGACAAACTCCCGACTCCTCGCCTAATGGAGGAAGACAAACTCCAGACTCCTCGCCCAGTGGAGGAAGACAAACTCCGGACTCCTCGCCCAGTGGAGGAAGGTTAACTCCGGACTCCTCGCCCAGTGGAGGAAGACTAACTCCAGACTCTTCGCCTAATGGAGGAAGACTAACTCCGGACTCCTCGCCTAATGGAGGAAGTCTAACTCCAGACTCCTCGCCCAATGGAGGAAGGCCAAGCCCACACTCTTCACCCAATATAGGAAGGTAAACTCCGGACTCCTCACCTAGAGAAGGAGGAAGACAAACCCCAAACTCCTTGTCTGTCTCAACGTCTGCCTGATGGGGCCCGCCGGCGTCCCACGGGGTTGTTGTACTCAGTGGGGCGTGATCTGATAGTAGAACAACCGCGCCTTCAGGGGAACACACCATGGCGTGTTGGGAGGCGCCATACACACCATGGACTGTCTCAACAATCTCAGCTTTTGACACATCCGGTGTCAGCGTGTCTCGCTCATGTCTGGAGTGTGTTTCTCTGAAAATTCCAGCATTCTCTCGAGCGACACTCGCAAGGTAACCAAGGCGCTTTACGTCAAACACTCTGCCTAGTTCCTGGTTCACCCGATCTGTGAATGTTTTATTCACGTCTGTCTCACCCAGCTCGTTTGACGCCTCACACTGCAAACACACTCGCCATTCCCTCCCTTTCATGTGCTGACCAATGAGATGACAGTCCGTGTCTGCTCCCCTGCGGAACACACGGACACAGAAACAAGCTGGGACGCAGTTACCGAACTTGACCCGGCTCTCAGTGTCTCCCAAACCGTCGAGTGAGGGCGAGGTATCGGTACTTGTAGCTCCAACAGACTTTGAATATGACTCCGCACTTTGTTCTGAACTCATTGTGATCTGCACGAAGTCTTTGGCGAAGTTTTCAACATCCTCATCAAAACGAGCGTCTCTGTCAGAGTTGACAGCTGTTTCCTCTTGGAGATGTTCGAACGATGAGTCACCGCTTGCGTCGTCGTTTAGTTGTGATTGCGACCAAACGTTCAAACCCTCGTCAGTATCGCGGCTCTCGTCTTCTCCTAGGTCAAGGTCATTGTGTAGTTGCGACATACCGAGAGTGACCCCGGCGGACGACACAGGGAGGTATCCCAGAGCCTCCTCCCTGGACACGTACTGAAGGTGTGGCTGTTCCTGCGACTGCCGGGCTGTGCCTAGGGAGATCTTACTGGCCTTTCTCTTACGCTTGCCTCTCCTTTGAGCGTTCTTGTCTGTACTCTCGGGTCTGCAAAAGTCCATGATGTCAAATGTCGTGGTCTGTCTCGGTGTCACAAGGTCATCAGGGTCATCAAGGTCATCAAGGTCATCGCTGACGTCACCTTCACCCTGCTCACTAGCCCGAAGAGCGTGGAAGTTGCTGTCTTCCTGTCCGCCATAAAACATCCGTGTGCCCCGCCATATTTCGTCATGCCACGCCTCCAGACGTCTCGACTTTTCCTGCTTCACTTTCATACTCGACGTTCTTCTCACGTTGTAGGGAAGAAAATGAAATTTCTTGAATCTGCTGTCATAGTGAGCATCTCTGGCGTCCAAGAGTGTTGGTGGCACTACGTGGATGAATACTGTCTCCTTGGGTCTCTCTGCTCTCGCCCTCGTCTCGTCTTCTGGGATTCTCTTATCCTCTTTCTTGGGTGTGTCTTTGTCCCACATGGCCGGCCTCTGAATGCCCCGGGGATGACACGTAAGTCTGCTTCGTTTACTTCCCCTGGCACAGACAGCTCCCGCGTCGTCCTCTGTTGCTCGTCTGCGCGTCTGCGTCATGTCGAACGAGCTCCACTCCCGTTTCCTCGAGTAATTCCTGGACGTACCTCGTATTTCTCGAATTTCTATTTTCAGATCGGCGCATTCTGTGATGTGCTCTGCGAATTCCTCATCCTGCATCATCTGACGAAACTTGTCATGCAAAAGCCACATACTTGCTTTCTCCATAGAAAATGTGTGAGTCACTGGGGGAATTCTTTGCCGTCTGTTTAGCTCCCCCATGTCTCCGAACTGATGCCGAGCGTCAGAATTCGCTTTGTGTAGGTCTAGGTCTAAGAATTCCAGGATGAGTTTCTCTGCCGACCTGTATCTGCCCTCCCGGACGGGACAGGGGTCATTTCTCCGGTTACGTCCGAGTCTGACAGGTTCCAGATGGCTCTCGCCGTCACGTGATATGGTGACGTAGTTGTCGGGATCGCTGGACCCGGGGGGAGATAACCGGAACAGCCCTCTGCTCTTCACTCGCTGCGTGGCCCCAGAGTTGAGGCTGGAGTTTGTCTTTTTCAGCACCATCTCGTCGCCCTGGGAACACCACAGACAACACATAGATCAGACACAGGGGTTCAGTGCTGTTAGTTTTAGTAAGGTTTTACGGCGCTCACAACTGCATAAGGTCATATGAGCGCCAAGGGGAGGATATCAAAGGGAAGTTCAGACGGGGAATGATACCTACTCTGCTCACCTCTCTAGCCTCAACAGCACAAAGTCTGCTTCGACTATCAAGGCACCCTGGAAATTGCAGTTCACAAGAGAGTGACAAACATACAAAGAAGTAGAGGAAAAATGA